TGGTCCTCTTGAAGGCCCTCGGTCCTCATAAACCTCTCTGGTCCTCTTGAAGGCCCTCGGTCCTCATAAACCTCTCTAGTCGTCTTGAAGGCCCTCGGTCCTCATGAAGATCTCTGGTCCTCTTGAAGGCCCTCGGTCCACATGAAGCTCCATGGTTCTCTTGAAGGCCCTCGGTCCTCATGAAGCTCTCTGGTCCTCTTGAAGGCCCTCGGTCCTCACGAAGCTCTCTGCTCTTGTCCCCCTGCAGCAGCAGGTCTCGGCCCAGCAGCTTGCCTTCCAGCAGCAGCTCCTCCAGGTCCAGCAGCTCCAGCAGCAGCACTTGTTGAACCTGCAGAGGCAGGGCCTGCTGTCCATCCAGCCGGGTCAGTCGGCACTGCCCCTGCCCTCCCTCACTCAGGGTGAGTACACACGGCGCTCGCCCCCCCCAGCCCCAGCACTCAGCGTGATTACCCAGCCCCCCTGCCCCCCCCCCCGCTGGGTGTACATCTCCTGCCGTACTGCCCTGGCCCCCGCGCTCCATGTAACGGCTCATTCCCATTTAGCGCCCCTGACCTGCCCGTGCACTCTCTCACTCACTGTTTCACCCCCCGCTCCTGACCTTCCTAAAGCAGAGCCCCTCCCAAGCTGACCCCCCCCCCCCCCTCCCCGCATGCTCTCTCCCCATCCTTCCTTTTGCTGTGCCCTCGCGGCCTGCTGGAGGGGGCCCATAATTTTTCCGTGGTATCAGCTCCGGAGTGTGCACCTACGGCACAACGGACGTCTGTGTTCATTGTTGCCACGACGCCGTGGGGGGAAAAAAAAATAAAACCGGCATCATTGTGAAACGAGCTGTAAGGGGATCGTGAGTCAATATTTGTTGTTTAGCCAGGAAGTTTGTTTCTTTATTTATTTAAAATATTTTCTTTAGGAGGAGGCGGGCCGCGTGACAAAGGCTCCTTCATACGTTTTTCTGGAACGCTGTCATGAACTATTCATTTCAGACTAAAGCAAACAATTAAAAATAACAAGATAAGACGATAAAAACTGAAGCGGGGGCACTTAGGTAATCGGCAAACAAAAACAGGGTTTGTACAGTGATGTTATTGTTTGTACTGTGCTTTGAATAATAGATCCACTTGTTTTCTGATGATTTCCAAGGTCATGGGCATGGAAAGTTCTAGAGGCAGGGGAGCTGTTCAGCCGGCTTTCTCAGCGAGCTTTTAAAAAGGCAACATTGCTTACCCACAAACACGCGTCTCACTTTCATGTTTCATGTATTTCAAATGGACAGGCCTGTTTCTTGTTGCAACTTCCTTGCTCCATGTGCCCAAATTCACCGTGTTGCCTGTAGTTCTTCCTGTGTATTTCCCTGAAATCTCGCCTGTAGTTCTGCCTGTGTTTCCCCGAAATGTGGCCTGTAGTTCTTCCTGTGTGTTTCCATGAAATGTGGCCTGTAGTTCTGCCTGTGTGTTTCCCTGAAATCTCGCCTGTAGTTCTGCCTGTGTTTCCCCGAAATGTGGCCTGTAGTTCTTCCTGTGTGTTTCCCTGAAATGTGGCATGTAGTTCTGCCTGTGTGTTTCCCTGAAATCTCGCCTGTAGTTCTGCCTGTGTTTCCCCGAAATGTGGCCTGTAGTTCTGCCTGTGTGTTTCCCTGAAATCTCGCCTGTAGTTCTGCCTGTGTTTCCCCGAAATGTGGCCTGTAGTTCTNTGAAATCTCGCCTGTAGTTCTGCCTGTGTTTCCCCGAAATGTGGCCTGTAGTTCTGCCTGTGTGTTTCCCTGAAATCTCGCCTGTAGTTCTGCCTTTGTGTTTCCCTGAAATCTCGCCTGTAGTTCTGCCTGTGTATTTCCCTGAAATCTCGCCTGTAGTTCTGCCTGTGTGTTTCCCTGAAACGGAGGCTGTCTGATTCAAGTATGGAAATTTGTTCCAGCTCGCATGTCATTTAAAACCTGGATTTTTTATCATCTTGTATCAGTTAATTTGCTTATCTACACACAAGTGTTATCCATCGGACAGTGTTTAGAGCTCTCACTGCTGTCAACAGCTGCGTATTGAAACTATTTAAGGTTAAGTTTCCCACTCAAGACCAAAGGGGTGTCCTTCTCCAGTGATTTAAGCTCTGGTTAAGAGTATGCCGTTTTTTTCCCAGTCCCGGTTAACTGGTCCTCCAGCCCATAACGTGAAGGCCGTCCCAGCACCCTGCGCTTGAGCACAGTGCAGTGTGGCGGTTAGAGCACTTATCAGTGTAAATTTCTTGGCTGCACGGATTTTATGCTCGACTGTTGGGGGTTATTGATGACCTTTCTCTTTTCCACATCGCTAAGCCTTTTCTTGCGCTGGCAGCAGGGACAAAGCTGTCGCCTGCTGGGGATTTTCAGCAGGCAGTTATCGGGGCAGCCCTCACGTGAGGCCCAGAGTGCAGCCGCTCTTATTCACGCGGAGTACGATACAACCATAATGCGGCTTCCTCGCCGCTGCGGCCAGGCACGGGGCTGACGGCCCTCATGAAGAGCATCCAGGTGTTCCTGACGGCTCCGATGATCATCTCCGCAGAAATCCTGATAGGTGTTCCTTTCTGTTCATGAGAAATCAATAAAAGGCGAATAAATCTTTTGATATTAACATTAAAGTCTTCGAAACGGCTGAGGCTGTCGGTTATAAATCCCCCCCCCTGGAAGTGCCCCTCCCCCCTGCCGTGCCGGTACGACTTCCCACCTCCAGCACATCGGAAAGCCGAGGCCCCCGCCCCCAGGTGGCACGGCCAGGTGCACAACTGTTACGGCTCTCCGTGTGCGCTGTGATTGGCTGCCCCCTCACTCTGCAGTGCCCCAGGCCAGCAGCGTGTGCATGTGTGTGCATGTGTGTGCATGTGTGTGTGCATGTGTGTGTGCATGTGTGTGTGTTTGTGCCTGTGAGTGTCTGTCTGTGTCTGTGTGCCTGTGAATATGTGTTTTCCTGTGAGTGTGTGTGTGTGTTTCTCTGTATGTGAGTGTGTGTGTATATGTGAATGTGTGCCTCTGAATGTGTGTGTGTATGTGTGTGTGCTTGTGCCTGTGAGTGTGTGTTTGTGTGCTTATGTGGGTGTGTGTGTCTGTGCATGTGTTTTAAAAGTCCAGTGCCATGGTGCCAAGGCGGCAGGGCAGAGGGAAGACAGATGCGAGTGTAACGCCCGTGCAGAGAGCGCGGCATGCGGCCCAGCCGGAGACGCCGGGGGCAGTCGGCAGTGGGGGCGCCTGCGATTCCCCGTCGCTGCCTTGGGACATATTTCAGAGCCGTGGGGCGTGGTGATTATGTGAACATAAACAGGGGAGCGGCAAAGGTCCCTGTCTGATGGAACAATAAACGGATGGCCGTGTCGCTCCCCCCACACCCCCGCACCAGATTCTGAAAAGTAACCGGCGAGTTTAAGGAAGCGGGGGCCATCACCATCATTTATTACAGCCAGGATGATGACCCACAACTGATGTCATTATATAGCTTAAATCAACTCGGCGCCCGCCAGAACACAGTCACCTGGGTACGGAGGTACAAGGACGGCGAGAGGTCGAGGGCTCGCTCCGTGGGCTTGCCGGCGCTACCTGCGGGGGCTAAATTGAGTTGTGTGGCCGGTCATCAATCAAGCATCTCGGCGACATACATTTTTTAGGCCCGTGTCCGAGTCTCCGCCCTTTAATGAGGGGACGACTGCTTTTGAAAAATGGCGAAAGGAAAGATAAACCAATAGTGCGTTTAAAAGAATGAGCTGGCAGAGGCCGTGGTCGTCCACTCAGCTAGCTAAAGATGGCCACACATTTACGCTCTTTCCCAAACATGTACAGTACATATATATTTAAACACGGCAGATTTTGATGAAGTCGTTCGGCCTGATGTTTGATCATAAAGTCCACCAGGGTGTTGGAGCGTCAGAGCGTGTCCGGCCAGGGGAGGGCAGGTGGAGGGGCTGAAATGCAGAGGAGAGGGGCGGGGGCGGGGGTGGGCCCTCCCCGTCATTGGGGTGTCGTCGCCAACGCGGTCTCGTCTGAGTAAACCGCGGTGTCGGGGTCACCTGGCCCGCCGGGTAATTGAGGGAGAGGGGCTGGCTGTCAAGCAAGGCCGCCAAAAATACCCCGCGAGCTGTCAGCGGCTACCGCGCGGAGAGTGATCGCCACAGAACCCCCCCACGCCATGCCCACTCCGCCGGTGACCTTCCGCGTGCGGACATGCATCAGGGAGGTGAGGGGGTGCTTTTTCTCTTTCGTTCTCCCCTCCCTCCACCCCCACAGATTCAGGCGCTGGAGTGTCACGGTGCTTAATGGGCTAGCGCGCGACGAGCTGGAGGGCGGACGTGTTTGACAAGGGAAAAAAAAAAAAACGCACCTTCCGGTATTTTCCGAGCATTACACGTGTGCGTTGGAGAACACATAAAGTAGAGGGGGGGGGGGGGGGGTGTTGGGGAACGTGGAAAGGTTATTGATTTGTCCTGCAATAATTTGCCGCTCTTTGATATGCAAACGATCCGGCGTGAATTTACCGCAATCCCATCAGGCTCATTTCACACTTCTTAGCTGCAGTGTCTCTCCCGAGTCCCCCGTCTCATTAGAGCCGTGTTCTCCATTACCAGCGTAATTAAAATCTTTAGTAGCTTATCAAATTAAAAAATATTTTTGCTGATCATATTGAGATCTTCACCTCGGAGTTATTTGCCACAACAGGAATAAATTAAGACTAAGCAGTTTGACCATTGTGCGGCCTCCCTGGAAGAGGGGCTCGCCGTGACCATGGAGAGCGATTAGGGGGGGGGGGGGGGGGGGGGGGAGTGGGGGCAGGGGTGGGGGGGGGGGGGGGGGGGGGGGGGGGCGAATCCGAGCTGGCCAAGATAAGCCCCGCAAATCATCATCTGCCGTCACCCGTTGCGGAATGGGATTTAATTAACTGTAATGTTAAATGAGTGGCCTTCCATGCATGGTACTGTATGTTCAAATAACTGCATGTGGATACGTTTGGGGGGAATTTTAATATTTTAAACACTCTGGTTATTAAAATACCTTTTGAGGCGAAAGCTAATTCATATGAGCAGATTAGCTCTCGTGCCGCTCCTGTTTTTTTCGGTGATGTCGTGCAGGAACACGGGGAGGCAATCAGAAGTATTTTGGATATCGGTGTGAATCAAAGGAAGATCTCCCAGTATGCGGCTCCCAGGAAGCCGACCCGTCTATCTCGGGGTGTCCATGCACTGCATTCCTCAAGCGGGCACGGGAACCGGGAGGGGGGGCGGCTGAATGAAGGTCTCACGCCGATGGAGACAGAGCCACACTAAAGTGCCTCAAACACTTTTACCCAGAAGTCCCTTTTTTGTCAGGGAGTTGCTGTTGTAACCCCTCCAATGTGTCTCTTTGCACCCTCGAATGCCGGTGATTATTCTGATTTCACGCCCTGTCTGCACGTTAATGATTCATCCTTAGCAATGGAATAGGAGGGAAGTAACAGGGAGGGGGGAGAAGGGAGGGGGGAGAAGGGAGGGTGGAGGGTCCCGCCCGCTTTCCCCAAGCATTAGCCTGTAGTTGCATACTTCCTAATTAATACTTAGCATTGTTTATGGAGCTCTTGATTTAATTACGCAACAATAGTGTGTCGGATTAGCTGCTAATGGCCTTGATGGTGTCGCGTGTTTGTTGCAGGCATGATCCCGGCTGAGCTCCAGCAGCTGTGGAAGGAGGTGACGGCCATACATGTCAAGAGCGAGGCTCACAGCGACAGCCCCACCAGCCTCGACCTGTCCTCCCCGGCGGCACCGCCCAAGAACCCGCTCCTCAACCAGCACACACCCACCAACGGCCAGTATGTGGCACACTCGCTCAAGAGAGAGAGGTATGCTCGCTCGCTGTGACTTCCCTATATGATCACTCAGTCACGTGATGCCGCTGTACACACACCCTGTACTGACTTCTGGGAATTGCTGCGTAGTCCCTCTCTGAACTTGAACCCGGTACCCTGGCATCGCTTGTCTGTACTCTACTCATCCCTCACTAAATTCTGGTCCAGAACATGCAATACCGCCCAAGTCCGCCCTCGTGCGGGTACCCCCAGGACCGACCTTGTGCGGGTACCCCCAGGACCGACCTTGTGCGGGTACCCCCAGGACCGACCTCGTGCGGGTACCCCCAGGTCCACCCTCGTGCGGGTAACCCCCAGGTCCGCTCTCGTGCGGGTAACCCCCAGGTCCGCTCTCGTGCGGGTAACCCCCAGGTCTGTTCTTGTGCGGGTAACCCCTGGACCGACCTCGGGCGGGTACCCCCAGGTCCGCTCTCGTGTGGGTAACCCCCAAGACTGACCTTGTGCGGGTACCCCCAGGACTGACCTCGTGCGGGTACCCCCAGGACTGACCTCGTGCGGGTACCCCCAGGACCGACCTTGTGCGGGTACCCCCAGTGACCGTTGGTCACACTGTCAGTCAGGGACTTAGGGTTCCAACCGGTTGATGAAGTCAGTGAATGTGGCCAGCCGCTCCCCCCCCCCCCCCCCCGTGCCTTTCTTCAGCCAGTCCCATTATGAGCAGAGAGAAAAATGCTCCTAGTACGAATGGCGCAGTCAAGGTCAGAGTCAAAGTTGCAGCTTTGTCATGCTTCCTGCCCCCGCTCTGCCCGTGGGAGCAGCCCCCCAGGCAGGACTCAGCCTTCTTCCCCGCTGTGTCCCATTGCTCCCAGGAAGCAGCTCCCCATCTCTGAGCATCACCCCATAACAGGGACCCTCTTCCCTCTAGCAGTGGCCTGTGATGTGCTGCCCTGACTGCCCCCCCGCGGCCGGGGGGAGTGACAGCAGGGAGACACACGCGAGTCCGGACGGCCTCGCAGGAGGGTCGCCCATAGGAGGGTCGCTGTGCCCCCTACAACACACTTAACAATAAAGGCCATTTTGGTATTGTTTTGTACGCCCCTGCTCCCCCCGACCGCGATGGGGGGCTCCGATCCGGCGCTCTGAATAATCAGCTTTCAGGCAGCAGGCGATGCCGGACTCGCCCTCCGGCAGCCGGCTTAACGAACTCTTAATTAATGCATCTGGGGAGTTCTCCGCCGTCTGACTTTATTTATTTATTTATTTGTTTGTTTGTTTGCTCCCTGCTCCTGCCACAGAGCTCCGGCTGCTGATGGACCCCCCCCTCTCCCCCCCCCCCCCCCCCCCCCCCCCCCCCCCCCCC